GAGGCAGAAATTCAAAAAACATGAAACTCAAATCTTCAAATTCGCAATCTTCATGTACCAGATATTTGAACCGATGGCCTTGTGTTCGAACTCCAAATGGCAGCAAAAACAAATGTGAAATCTATGGGATTATTCAGACTTTTGCAATAATAATGGTAATAATGATAAGTTCCCAGTGATGGGGAGTGTCTCAAACTCAGTTCTTGCAATTGCCAGCTTTTGTTGTTGTTTAAGCCTTTGGCTTGAGTGGCTTGATGACCTCCCAAGTGAAGTCAGGGTCTTCACGTCCGAAATGGCCATAAGCAGCGGTTTTCTGGAACCTGAAGTTACCTCCTCTCTTCAAATCGAGGTTGATAGCCATCATTCCCGGCCTGAAGTCAAAAGCTTCCTTGATCAACACGAGGATATCCTTGTCCGGGATGGTCCCGGTCTTGTAGGTGTCAACAAACACCGAGAGTGGCTCAGGCACACCAATGGCATACGACACCTGCACGATACAGCGGCGTGCGAGTCCCGCTGCTACCACGCTCTTTGCAGCCTGCCTGACGATATAGGCACCGCTTCTGTCAACCTTGGTTGGGTCTTTCCCTGAGAAAGCACCTCCACCATGAGCACCCCAACCACCATAAGTATCGATGATGATCTTCCTCCCCGTGAGTCCAGCATCACCGTGAGGCCCTCCAATGACAAAACGACCAGATGGGTTCAGATGAAAGATAGTGTTTTCATCAAGGTACTTAGCAGGAATAACCGGCTTGATCACATGCTCCTTCAAATCAGCAGCAATCTCATCATTGGTGACGGTTTCGTCATGTTGAGTCGAGATAAGAACCGTGTGGACTCTAATCGGAATCATAGCTCCACCATCGTTTCTGTACTCAACAGTGACTTGAGTCTTACCATCAGGCCTCAACCACGGACAAGTCTTGTTCTTCCTCACTTCAGTAAGCTTAGCACCAAGCTTGGTGGCTAAGACATGAGTCAAAGGCATGAGCTCAGGTGTCTCATCAGTTGCATAACCAAACATATGTCCTTGATCACCAGCTCCAATATCTTCAGGCTTCTTAGTCAAATGACCATGAACACCCTGAGCAATGTCAGGACTCTGTTGCTCAATGTTAACCAAGACATTGCATTTGTCAGCATCAAGACCAACATCAGCAGAGATAAAACCAATCTCTCTACAAGTGGATCTAACAATCTTCTCGTAATCAACTTTAGCAGAAGTTGTGATCTCACCAAACACCATAACCATATTGGTCTTGGTACATGTCTCACAAGCAACTTTGCTTTCAGGGTCTTGTTCTAAGCAAGCATCAAGGATTGCGTCGGAAACTTGGTCACAGAGCTTGTCTGGGTGACCTTCATTGACTGATTCAGATGTGAATAGGAACGTTTCCATTTCTATACATACACACACAAAAAAACAAAACATATATTCATGTCCAAAGATTAGTATAGTATCCACCGACACAATTCGAACACCAAACCAAACAAAAAAAGAATACTTTTCAATTTTCTGCATAAAGATTCCGAATTTTTCCAGTTAAAATATCTAATTCCATCAAATCCTTGATGGGTATTCGAAAATTAAAGCAACTAAAGCATCAAACTTTCATATTTTTGGGGGTAAAATAAAATAAAGCATCAAATTTTCAGATCTATCACAACAAACCCAAGTCGAGAAATGAGTTATTACATAGAAACATACAAGATTCCGACAAAAACGAACAGATCTAACGAAGAAAGAAGAACAATGGATCGAAGATTAAACAAACCTGATAAGGAAGAAGAAGGATTTCGAGATCTG